TACGCGCTTTTTCAGAGTAGCAACTTCTTCCTGCAGATTGGCCCGCCACTCACTCTCCATCATGAGCTTGGTTTCCACCTCGGTTTTTTCCCCATCCACCGTCTACAAGCACGCAAGATCAGGTGAGCCAAGACGGTGTGTCCCCGGCCACCAAAAAGCTAGTAAGAGCCAGATCTGACCTTGAGTCGCTGCGTGACTTGCACCAACGTCTTCTCCAGCCGCTCGCGTGCCGTCTCGCCGTCGCCGAGCTTGGAGGTCAGACCCTGGATTTCACCCTGATATTGATCGCACTTGCGCTGAATTGCATGCGTCTGCACACGCCCAAAAGGTCACTTCAGTGAGCACGATGCACATGCTTCGGGTGGTATGAACCGTGGCTCTCCTCTCTCGCACCTTTTCATCGGCTTCCTTGGCTTTGTCTTGTAGTTCCTGAACGCGTTGTTCCAGAAGCGTTGCATGAGCGTTAACATGCACAGAACTGACAAGTTTGCGGCATGGACCCGAAATCATCCGGGCAGAAAAGGCGCACCTGCACGGTGGAGAGCATCTGCAAGTTGAGGCCCTTGACATCCTTGAGCTGCTTGCGCAAGTTGTCGTTGGCCTCTTGCCGCTGAGCCAACTTGGCTTCGAGCCCCTGCACTTGATCGCTCAATTCATCGCGCTTCTGCTTCCAGGACACCAATTCGCGCTCCATCTCCTCGCGCAGCTGCTGCTCTTTGGCCATTTGTTGGGTCGTCGCGTCCAAGACCTGGCTCAAGCCTTCGCGCGAGACGTTGTACGTGGCGCGCTCAGTGGAAATGTCTGCCTCGACGGCTTGAAGCTGTCACACGAGCACGAGCACACGCCTTGACTGTGAGCACGATGCGACGCCACCCAAGAGGCCAAGGCCAGCGAACTTACACGGCGATCACACTCTGCCCGTACACTTTGCACCTCCTGCTCATGACACAGGGATCGTCAGATACATGAGTCATGTGGCAAAAAACGTGGCTCAGCAGAGACGACAGGGGGGATGAATACGAATACAAGCAGCCAGTCTCTTGAAAGAGCACCAACTGGTTAGTCATAGACAGCCGTATGACCAACCTCTTTACGTTCGGCGAGTTCTTGCTGTAGCTCGGTAACCTTGGCTCGGGCTTCGTCGGCTGCGGCTTGAGCCGCAACCAGCTGCTCCTTGGTCTCCGCCATTTCATGATTGGACGAGAAGAGCTGTTGCTCCAGCTTGCGATTGTGCTCACGCAAGCGTGCGTTTTGATCACTCAAGGCCCTGATAAAAGCACAGCAGGTGCACTCGGTCAGCACGAGGAGCCGTGCTTGTCAAAAGCGCGGCAGGCGCGATAGGCAAGAGCGGGGAACAGGCGTGGTCACGCACGTGAATGTTTCTTCAGAGAAGCGCGCGTCCTCCTCGTCGGGATTCTCTGCGGTGGCTGGTTTCAGATAGTTGCCATCCTATAGTCAATGAGTGCCGGTCCCAGTTTGAGCCTTGGCGCGAGCGTAGAGGCTGCCGTGCGTCCATCGTGGCGCGGCCAGCGCGGTTCAAGAAACGGCAAACCTTAAAATAGAGACTGAGGTCCAAGACATCTGTGTCCGTGTCGAGCTGTTCGGCGGGGCACTCAAGATCGAGCTCCAGGGTTGCCAGGCCCATGAGCAGACCGGCTAGCACTACCGCGTCCTCTGACCGCAAAAAGGCCCAGGGCTCGAACCTACAAGTTGTACCACACAGTGAAGAAGAGAGACATCAATGATCGAGTGAGGAGGGGGGGGAGGAGGACATCGGCTGCTAAAAAACGTCACGAGGCGTGTGAAGGCACATACGCGTCGTGCAGGACGGCTGGGTGGTCTGCCGCAGTGCGCACGAGCTCTGAAATGAGCTTGTGCTGGGTGGCCTGCCGAAGGCAGAACCGACCTCGGCCCTGGTTCGTGCGCAGGGCCGGATGGCTGCGCGCTTGCTTGACAATACTAACAAGAGTCACTTGGTCGGGACCGAGGGCGGCCGCAGGCTCGGCCAGCTCGGCCAAGAGCCCGCCGCGGTCGGCGGCATCAAACAAGGCAAAAACGTCCCGGTTGGCGGCAAGGGCACGCTTACGCACACCATGGCGCAGCACGGCCTCAAGCACGAGTAGAAGCTTTTCAGTCACACATGTGCGTTTATCGATGCGTGCGTGCAGAATACATGGTAAGCGTTTGGCCGGGCTTGGTCCAAAGAACAAACAGACTCGGATGGATGAGGCAGCGAGAACCAGACCTGGGCCAAGGGGCGGTGCGAGTCGTGAATGGGCGGGGCCAATCCAATGGTGGACTCGATCATGGTTTTCAGGGCAATCTTACACATGTTGAGCTGCGCAGCACGCGGCAAAATGAGGTCAAACCCACGAGACTGGGTTCGGCAACAAAGAACACGAGGCGGGGGCTTGCATGAGAAAAGAGGTGGGGTGCATCTGACCATGTTGGCGCATTCGCGTCGGTGTCCCTCGGCATCGGCTTCGGCTTTGAGTTGCTGGCGGCGCTCTTGGTCTTCCCGGGCTTGGGCCGCGGCGCTCGTACGAGGGTTGCTGCCACTCCGCGCCGGGCGAGACTCTTCAGCCGGCGTCTCCTCGCCGCCTGACCCGCCTTCCTCGGACGTGCTCCCAGTCTACACCACGAGTATCAGGGAAAGAAAGTGAGAAGCACATCAAAGGCGCTGCGGTGTCCGGAAAAAGTGTGGTACGCACGTTGCCACGCCACTTGAGCTTGCGAAAAAGGCCGCGGGACGCAGCAGGAGTGGTGCCATCGTTGGTCACACGCGCAGCGGCAGGTGCGTTGGTGCGGGTCGGGGAGGAGGGGACAACCCGCAGACTGCCACTGCGGGCAAGTCGTGAGACGTCCTCCGTTTCCGTTGGGGGCGGTATGGCCACGCCGATCACCTCCTAAGACCATGCGTGTACATCATGGTGAGGAGTCTGCGGCGGACAGCAATGGAGGCGAGCAGCAACGGCGGCTAGAGACCTGGCCGGGGAGGGGCTCATCGCCGGGCTGCGCAACAGGTACGGCATGCGTTTCGCCATCGGGGCCGGGCTTGAGGGAGGTCAGGCGCTGGGAGCGCATCTTTTCAATCAGCTCGGCGCGACGGGCTGCGGCTGCACCCACCTGTTTTGGAACAAGGAGGCGAGAATGGTGGGGGCAAGTGAAGGAGATGCAAGACCGGCGAGCGTGAAAAAAAAAAAAAAAAGAAGGCGGTGGAGACGAGGTCCATGAGCATGTGAGGGTGTGGATGCCAAAATTTGAACAAGGTCTTCGGCCAATGGCCTGCGCGATGGTACCTCGGGCACGGTGAGGCCCGGGCTGCTGGGCACGGCATCAGACGCATCGGCTGCATCTGGCGCATCAAAAGCGTCGGGAGCATGGGTTTCTTGCTGTTCTTCTTCAGCCGTTGGGCCCGGGCTGCCGGGGTCCTAACACAAGAGGCCAAGCACGTGGGATGACGACCGGTCCATGAGAAGGGCTCCTATTGCTGAGCGCGACGGTCGGGCTCGCTCGCACCAAAACACGCACCTGAGCGACGACTGCGTGCGCAGCATCCTCCCGTTCATCAGATTCATCAGGCACCGAGCCACTGCTTGGTGGCGAGGCATCCGGTCTCGCCGATTCAGCTGCTGCCGCCTCATCCGAGTCGGCCATAAAGCCGATGCCGCGACTCGCGCACACACACACACACACACACACACACACACACACACGCACGAGACTATTCAACAGCTGGGTGTATGGTTATGCGCAGGTGTATGCGTTTATACGCGCTCGCCCCACACCGATAAAAGCCACAAACTGGCAAAGAACACCCTGAAAGCTATCGTCCGTGTACAAATCCGTGGGCTCGGACGCCCTGAAATGCCGGCGATCGTCACGTCGGCGCTGCCACTGTGTGTGTGTGTGCACGTCTCACTGACACAAACAAAATCAAGAGATGTGCTTAGATGACATAATTCAGGAAGAGATGTGAGAGAACAAGGTGAAATCGGTCAGAGATAAAAGGTGAGATTAGAGGTTTGCACGATATGGTGACCTAGTAATCATTTACAACAAAGCAGATTTTAGAGACAACTTCGTATTTTAGAGATACATCTCAAGGATGAAAGATTGTCGAGAGATAAACGTCGTTTGAGAGATCTTAAAAGAGAGATGAAACAAGTCAACAGTTCACAGCGCGAAGGGACTGTGTGATACATATCACACTTTCATTTTCAACCAGAATGTTAATGTCAGACGATTTTATTGTGTCTGAACTCGGCACAGCGATCGATCAGATCAGCCGGACTCTCTCGATCTCTCTCGCGATAATCTCTCGATCTCTCTCTCTCTCTCTCTCTCTCTCTCTCTCTCTCTCTCTCTCTCTCTCTCTCTCTCTCTCTCTCTCTCTCTCTCTTGATCTTTTCCTAGAGATCGAGATCGACGAGTCGGCAGGGGGAAGGGCGGGTTCTTGGCTTTTTTTACATTGGTTAGGATCGCAGTGAGGACTGTCGAAGAAGGAGACATGAGGTCCAGGCTGCATCAGCACGCTTCCTGCAGCGCTAGTGTCGATGTTGTCTTTTTTCTCTTGCACCAAACCCATGGGCATGGGGGTGGACGGTTGGGGCACTCACTCGCCGGCAGCGCGCAGACTCATGAGTGAAGGTCGGGACCAGGTCACAAGCGGATTCTACCACGATGACCCACAAAGGTGTGCGGCCTGCTGTGGCGTTAATGTCGAAAAGTCATGACATGGAATGTCCACACACCTGTAAAGTTTGCTGGCGTGTACACTTTCAGACTCGCTCGTAAAATGGGCGGATTCAGACGGACAATTCAATGCAATGAGCAAGGGACCGTGAAGCAAGGCCTGAAGCAAGGAGCATTGCTGTACTGCTCATTTTTCTGTCTCCAGTGGAGGCAGCAACGTTCAATGATGCCAAACAATCGGAACGCTACGGCCAGAGAAAGGCTGCGAAAAAAACTTTCCGACCGGCAGAAACTTGCCACGTTGCGGGCCATGATAGCAGGCTTCTTGGCCGATCATGCTCTTTTTGAAATCAAGCAAAACAACAGCGGCGACCTTTTTACGTATAATGCGCTCATGACCTGGCGTCCAACGGTCGTTAAAGCGATTTCGAAAGAGCTGTCGACTGATCACCTGACGTCGATCCAGGCACGTTTGAAAGACGAACATGAACAGCGTCTGCGCGAGCTCATCATCGAGCAAGATGGCGACGATGATAATCAAAAGCTTCAAAAGTTTGTGCGAGACTTTCTGATCAACGTCGGACAAGCAAATGGCCAAAATATTTCCATCAAGTTGAATGGTGAAGTTGCCATTGATTCGGATTCGCTCGATCCTGAAGTGCGCCACAAGGTCGAGGCTTTTTTTGGACGTCGTGTGGGTGCCATCCGAATTCCCAGCGAAAAAGTTGTTGCCAACAATGCCCCCACGAATCTGTCTTCTGTCTTGAAAGCTGCCTTGGGTCACGTTGATGCTAATGGGCGCGAAGACGCGGTCAGAAATATCATTAAGGGCATTACGAATCAAAAGAACAAGAAGCTTTGGACCAATTGCCATGCGAGCGTTCTGGACACTGTGCTCGTATGGAACATACACGCGAAGCTGGCTGAATCATATGCAGAATGGTGCCAAGGTCCCTCTCGATATGACACACAAACGATCCTGTGCGAGAAGCTCAGCGCGGTAGCAGGTGGCCTATTAGTGCACAATCAGCTCTCAAGGCCAGTCCTGACTGAAGACGTCTTGGAGGCAACGGCAAGCTTGTTTGAAAAACAAATTGGTGTTTCTCAATGGAAAGAAACGCTTTCAAGCGTGCTCGCAGCTCTCAAGACCAAGCGAAACAAATCGGTGGCTCATGCGATTCAACGTGCAAAAGTTCAAGAGGACAACCCAAACACAGGCGCATCATTTCTCGCCCTAGATCAAGCACGGCTGAGCAGCAACGTTGCTGGGTTGTGTTGGCAAATGCCATCCAAACCATCAAACATCGACTTGAAACATTTGTTCGCACACGTCAATGGAGTGTCGAGCATCCTTTTGTATGATCTTGGCTTCAAGTCCTACTTTCGCCCGACCGACGCAATCCCCGTCAACTTTCGAAGAGTTGACCGGCCACAGAACAGCGATCCTCCTGTCGATTTTGAATGCAATGCTCTTTTTTATCTCAGCCCAAGCTCCTGCAAGCTTCAACTGGCCTTGCGTGATGCGATCATTGTTCGTGACGTAGCGCAGACCGTCTGCAACATCAGTCAGGCAGGCACAGATCTATGGCCGACCACACACGGCGTGAAGGAAAGTTTGGTTGAACTCTCTTTTCTCGCCGCCAACATATTGCATCCATCCATTCTGAAAGATTGCCCCTGGCTCTTTGACGCGGTAAGGTGCATGGCATGGCGTGTTTAGTGTGTTACAGGACTCACACGATGTTACTGCTTTCGATAGGACAACTCCTTTAAGGTTCTAAGAAATCGCTTGGAGAAGCTTCACGACTACTTTTTAGGGCATCCGACCCAACGCTTGTTTTTCAAAAAACAGGCGTCTGGATTTCTAGAGGAGACAAATGAATGTCTTTTAACGTTCAAAAAAGCAAGCAGCCTGATCGCCTTGTGCAAAACAGTCATCACCAAGATTATTACAAGAGCAGATGATGACTGGACCGTTGACAGGCTTGTTGAGCGAAGCAAAAAGACTCAACTCAATATCGTGATCAAGTGTGACCCCCCATCCACGCAGGTCAAATGCAAAATCAACGAGCACGATGCCCCTCAAGACCTGGTGGTTGAGGCTGACATGGAGCCTGCAGATGATACAAGTATCATGTGTCTGACTCAGACGGTGAATGCCGACGTTCGCTTGAGCATCGAGATCACAATCAATCGTGAAGGAGCTGAGCCACAGGTGTGCCAGCTTGACTATACCCCAGTGGGCGCACTTCCCGTGGAGCCTTTGTACATCAACATCTAACAACCCGACACCAATGCTTTGAAGAACTGCTCGATGTTTTAGTGTCTCGCTCCTTCTGCTCCCAAATTGATACCTTTGGATGTTTGTATCCGATTACTCATAACAGTCTCCCATCTTTCCTTGCTCTACCCTTGTCCTCACACACGCCTTGAGCTCAATCTCACTTTCAAACACACGCACACCACAAACCATTCCTCCTTGAGCCAGCTCCCACCCTTGGTGACATTCTGACAAGCAAACAGCAAAATGCAGCAGCAGACTGCAACATCCTAATCGGCCGTGTAGTACACCACCAACTCGGGATACATTTGGGCATTCTCAAACATAATGACCTCTTGAAATCGCCCATGCGGCGTCGCAATAACCGAATCGTATCTGAAGAAAAGCCAGGCGCAGCAGTCGGCAGGTCAGATGCAAAGACCAACACGCATCAAAGGCCGACTCTGTCCCGCGCACCCACCGTTCGTTGTTCGGCGCACTGGGCAGAAGCGGGGGTGCCAGCGCCTTCGAGTTAGGCGCTTCATCGACATAGGCTTGGCCGAGCAGTGCTCTCGTCACAATGAGCATGCGTTCACCGTTGGGGCCAGCCTTGGCGTACTGATGGGTCTACATGCAAGTCAACACACAATACGTCAGCACAGCAGCATTTGAATGAAGAAAATAGCAAGGAGAAGCCAGTGCTGTCAGACCTTGCCAGGATGATCCGACAAATACGTGCCGTGCCCAAAGCGATGACCTCTGCTGCTGCCCGCAAAGCGATAGTCGAGGCCCAGGCGCACAATCTTGTCACGCAGCGATTTGTCGGCGGCGATCCCGTGGAGCAGCAGCCGCTCCTGACAGGATGTGTTGCGAAGCAAGGCCGGAAGGCCTGGGAGCGCATCCACTTTAGCCGTTTGAAGTTGATCGCAGTGCCTCTGACTCGTGATGCGATGCAACATCTCCCGTCGCTTTGCACTATAGCGCTCCCACAACACTGGGTTTTCGACGCGCTTGACCCGCCGCACTGCAATCGTGTCCGGTCCTCGCCCGTCACAACTCAGCTGTTCTAACAGGTCCGCCACCTAGCCACACCCGGGTTTAAATCAGCCTGCGGATCAAAAAAAAAAAGCAATTGCATTCTCGAACAACACACCTCCTGCACAAGCTCAGGCGCATCGCGCAAAACATCAATAGCTGGCCCAACTTTGTGGGCGACGGGTTGCTGCGCAATCAGCCCGGCACTAAATAGGCTGGGGCGTCCCTTTGGATCAGTGGCAAGCAAGGCCCGCGCTTCACGATACAGATAGCTCGCAGAATCACACATCTGCATCGAGTAACACCAAATAAGGTTTGATCATGAAACTAAGAGAGCAATGCCCCACTGGTCAGTTCCGAAGTCGCGCTTACCTCAGCCGCCAGGTGTGGAAAGCTGCAATCTGTGCCTCCTGCTTGGAAATTCCATTTGCATTTGTCAACCAGCTGATCCGTGGGTAGACGAGCAGCGGGCACTGTTTGTGGAAACATGTAGGTATTGTAAAGAACGCAGCCAAAGGAAAAGGCATCCTGCGCCGGGCGCGCACCCACACAGCCGTCACCAAAAAGCACCTCCGGAGCTACATATCCGGCCGTACCCGACGATGCAGTGGTTGTACATGGTAGCATTGTGGCTTCAGCGGCGGCCTTGGCCATGTCAAAGTCGCCAAGCCGGACAACCGGCCGATCCTCCTCACCATCCAGCATGACGTTGCTCAGCTTGACATCCCGATGCACCAAGCCTTTGCTGTGCATAAAAGCCAATGCTGCGCGCAACTGATTCATCAAACCCGTAATCACGGCCGAGGTGGCCAGGTGACGCGCTCTGCTAAGCCACTGCTGCAAATCTCCCTGCGTACACCACGGCTGCACCAGGTATGCGCTGGGGTGGCCATTGTGCACGTCCACAAGCGTGCCGAGGACCGGGATGATGTTTGGGTGCTCCAGCTGACGCATGGCGCGGAGTTCACGGAGAAACGTGCGGCACTGATCATGCTTTTGTTGCCGAGCAAAGGCATACTCTTTCACGGCCAAGTCTTGCGCGGAACAGTTGGGCAGCGCGGCGTGGGCTTTGTACACTTTGTGGTTCTGATTGTAGTATAGGTCAAGCTGGCCCAGACTGGAGAGCGTCAACGCCTGATTCACTTCGGTCATGACCTCAAAGATGAGACTGGCGGGCAGGTCAGGTCCAAGCACTGCACGAAGGTGTGCTCCCAAGGAGCTTTGTTCGGGATGCAGCAATACCAGTAGGGCTGGGAAGTGCTGATGCAACAGCTTTGCCAGCTCTGCGACACGATCCACGTGTGGCTGAGCAGCCAACTGATGGCGCAAGGTGGTCAGACGTTCTTGCTTGTCTTGCACACCAGCTTCAAGCCCAGCACGCAGCTCATCTGGAGCAAAAGTCAAGAATGCTTTGGTCGCCTGGATTTGTTGCTGTAACTTGGACATTTCTTCGTGTGCAGATACAATCCGGCTTGCGCTGTCCCGCGTGATTTCATTGATACAAGTTTTGCACAAAGCCAGCACGGACAGCGTCGTGGTCTGCCAGTCAGCCATGTCCTGCAGCCTCTGCATCAAAGCCAGCAACTCGTGATGCACAAATGCCAGGTACCAATTCAGGTGGAAATAGTCATGCGTTCCTACCCAGATTGCAAGCTGCTCCAGACCATTGTGTTCGGGCACACTCAGCATCTCGTGAGCTCGACAGAGCTGCTTCCACGCCTCGGGCAGCGCCTTGGCTGGAGGCGGTTCGCTTACATCCGAGCATTGCGTGCATCGCCACAGCGTGACCACGCACTGAATCATTTCGGCAGCCCCTGCTTTCGCAACAGCACCCAGGGAATCGATCAGCGCCAGTGTCAGGCGCTTGAGGTTGCTTTCAGTGCTATCAAGCAGCTTTTGGCGCTCAGGCCCGATGTTGCGCGGCATAGCAAGTTTGTTCAGGGCCGTTGCAATATCGGCGGGGGGCGTCTTGGGTGCAGATGCCGGCGCAGTAGGTGGATCGGGAAATGTTGCCAGCACGGTCTGGAGCTCGTGAAGGACTGGCTGCAGCTCAAACTGGTTTGCAAGGTCATGCAGATCTTGGAGCACTGATTCCACGGCGTCGGTCTTTGGATCCAAGTGCCTCAAACGATTTTTCAACGCTTCGGGCGCCCGTAGTGCCTGATCAAGCGAGTCGACGGCCTGAGTGATGATGACCTGAAGGGTGGCACAGTCCATCACAGATGCCTCTGCCGGTGCTTCATTGATGATTTTTCGAATGTCATCAACCGCCGTTGCGAGCTTGGGGTCGCGCTTGATGGTACCACTGATCAGGGCATCGAGGTACGGGAAGGGATGGGTGGTGGTGGGCCCGGGCAGGAGTGGCTTGAGCCAAACGTGCACCACCCCCACAACATGGGCTGTCGTCTATGGGTAGTGTGGTGTCAGTGGTCATGAATACGTCAGATACGGAAACAAGCAAGAATCGCAGTTGAAGACATATGAGGAGAGGACCCACCTGCATAGTAGGTGTATCGCCGGGTAGAGGTGGCAGCCAGGCAGGAAGTTGTGCGAGACGAATCTCGTGCGCAACAAACACATCCTCCAGCTTGGTGTCATGATCGCTTAGGTGAACCAGATCAAGGGGCGTTTTACCTTCCTGAGCACACAGCCATAACAGGAAGAAAGATGAATGACCAAGAGCAAAGAGCAAGAGGCGGGTACATGGGCGAGCGACAAGCGAGTTGTACGGTGAAGTCAAACGGGTGGACGCAAAGCAAAAAAAAAGGAGAGAAGGAGAGGAGCACGCGCGGCGCAACCAAGCACAGACGGAATATCATTAAAGTGCGAGGTACTGACGGCATTTGCAACGTATGCATCGGCGCCATGCTTCAATAGCATCTTCACCACCTCCACATGACAAAGTCTACAGGCCCAGTGCAATGCAGTGTCCCCCTGTAGGTTGATCCACCACCATTGTAAACAGGTGTAGCAACACCATGATAGCACCATGAGCGGCCCGTATGCCAAATACCATGTGTCAGCAGCAAATGCACACCAAAGGGGAATGGAGCAGGTACTGACGAGGTGCTTGGCGTTGGCATCAGCGCCATGCCTCAATAGCATCTCCGCCACCTGCACATGACCGTTGAAACAGGCAGCGTAGAAAGATGTGCCGATCTACCGGTTGTGGTACCACCATGTAGACAGGTGCAGCATCATCATTAACCATTTCGCACCAGAGGTCGAATACCATGTGAACATGTGAACGCGAGTGTAACGTCACGACCAAGCAGCAAACGTACACCGCCTTTGTAAGTATTTGTGGCTTGAATACGTGGCGCGTCCCAACTGCTCAACAGCTTCAGGGCCTTTTCTGAACTTTGTTGAAAACACGCATTGTACAGCTGCTTTCCATCTTCACTCATGGTCATGGGTTTTTACCACGATCCGCTTCCAGACTTTTGAACAATTCTCATAAGACCCAGGTCCAGTTCCTAAACCAAATCCAGCCAGTTGAAAGGGGCGGTGTGGGTCAAAACGGCAGTTGGACAGCCAGCCTTGATCCCCTTTCCTCCCCTTGATATGGCGAGTGACTCACTCTTGAGTATCATTCGCGAAGCGATATCATCGACGTTTTTTGCTTGGCTCAGCGCACGATGATGAAGTCAGTGGCAATTGCACCTATGGAAAACAAATGCAGCAACGCTCAATGACTCTCACCCAAGCCCCGACCTGGCATTTCCGTATCGCCCGTGAATAAGCAAGACAAACTTTGTACGAACAGCCAGCACGCCCAGCACACACCGATGCGATACCATACTCGCTGAAACTGATGCTGAGGCCGATGCCAAAAAAAAAAAAAAATAGAGTAATAAGTCAAAGAGAAAGAGAAGTTCAAAAACCTTTCAAATGGCAACGCGACAACCACAACAAAATGCATCAACACCATGTGCACAAGCTGAATCCTCTGCTGGCTTCTTATATTGGGAAGACCCGTCCGTGCATCTGTGCATCTGTGCATCTGTGCCTGCCTGTGCCGTGCGTGCATCTGTCTGTCTGTCTGTCTGTCTGTCTGTCTGTCTGTCTGTCTGTCTGTCTGTCTGTCTGTCTGTCTGTCTGTCTGTCTGTCTGTCTGTCTGTCTGTCTGTCTGTCTGTCTGTCTGTCTGTCTGTCTGTCTGTCTGTCTGTCTGTCTGTCTGTCTGTCTGTCTGTCTGTCTGTCTGTCTGTCTGTCTGTCTGTCTGTCTGTCTGTCTGTCTGTCTGTCTGTCTGTCTGTCTGTCTGTCTGTCTGTCTGTCTGTCTGTCTGTCTGTCTGTCTGTCTGTCTGTCTGTCTGTCTGTCTGTCTGTCTGTCTGTCTGTCTGTCTGTCTGTCTGTCTGTCTGTCTGTCTGTCTGTCTGTCTGTCTGTCTGTCTGTCTGTCTGTCTGTCTGTCCTGTCTATCTGTCTGTCCTGTCTATCTGTCTGTCTATCTGTCTGTCTATCTGTCTGTCTGTCTGTCTGTCTGTCTGTCTGTCTGTCTGTCTGTCTGTCTGTCTGTCTGTCTGTCTGTCTGTCTGTCTGTCTGTCTGTCTGTCTGTCTGTCTGTCTGTCTGTCTGTCTGTCTGTCTGTCTGTCCTGTCTATCTGTCTGTCCTGTCTATCTGTCTGTCTATCTGTCTGTCTATCTGTCTGTCTGTCTATCTGTCTGTCTGTCAGTCTGTCTGGCTGGCTGGCTGTCTATCTGTCTATCTGTCTGTCTATCTGTCTGTCTATCTGTCTGTCTATCTGTCTATCTGTCTATCTGTCAGTCTATCTGTCTGTCTATCTGTCTGTCTGTCGATCTGTCTGTCTATCTGGCTGTCTATCTGGCTGTCTATCTGGCTGTCTATCTATCTGGCTGGCTGGCTGGCTGGCTGGCTGTTACTTTCGGTCGCGGTCATTGTCACCAATATCATACATATCAAACCCTGAAACGAGCTCAGGCGCGATGACAGCAACGCAATCCTTAGAAGCGCTATAGGTTGAAAATCGGAATATGCTGCAATCAAATAGAGCACGAACATCGGTGCTGGGGCAGGTCGTGCTCTGCACTTGTCTGTCAGGCTCTACGACGTGTCAAGGCCAGTGGATTTAACGCTAACATAATATTGTGGTTACATTTACAGGCCGTTGCTGCCTTGACATGGACGTGTCTGCTTAATTGGGGTCTTGGTTTCGTTGAAGATGTTGGTCGAATACAGCAGCCAGATGGACTCGGCAGAAACAGTGATCTATTTAAGATGCGCGCTGTCAATTCCTCCTGAACGTCAGCCTTTTGGCTTGTGGTCTTTTCATCACTGGTCACTTGGGGCAGTCGTGCTGGTCTTGTTGCACACAAAAAGACAGCTCGACCTCCCGCAGCCTCCACCTAATCCTGCCCCCGTCGTCAATCGGGCTAGCTGGGAAGGCACCCTAATCATTTGGCGCACCCTTTGGTGGCAAGCTTGCACCCGTGTCGTCAACGCCTGCAGCCATTCAAGTACCAAAGTTTGGAGTACGTTTCATTGGCAAATTTGCTGCACAGTCATTCAAGAAGTTGTTGCACGGGTTAGAGGTCACTTTGCAGACTCAAACCTGCCGTCTGCGCCTCTCAGGTCTGAATGAGGGCGATGGTTGTGCTTTTCAAAATGCACGAACCCAGAGCGAAAGACAGGTGAATGTTTAGGCTTCCGCGCAGAGCACCAAAAAGTACCTGGCATCTGGCTCCAGAACGGATTTGACGCTACCACCTGGCAGATTTCGACAATGCATTCCAGCCCCATACACCAGCCACTCGATGGTGATACAGATTGTGCCCTCGCCTTTGGGCTTGCCCGTGCCCCGGCTCGAGTCGGTACGAGGACAAGATGCGGAATTACGGTTTTGAAGCGGACAGGTTGAGTCACCGGCTGCTCAAAGATACGCTAATTGATGATGGGCCTGGGTATATGGAAGGTCGGGAAGCAGGTTTTCCGGTGGGCAAGCAATCCAGCTACAGCAAGGGACAGTCCAGCTCACGAAACGGCATTCTGATGCTTGTCGGGCTGTTTTGTGTGATTCGAGCAAACGCACATTCATCATGGTGTCCTGCAGGTGGGGGTCGTTATAGTTTTGAACGCAATGACATTTTCCCCTCAGTCTTGGCAGTTTTGGATAGAGTTGGACCTGGATCAGGCCCTTGCCAGCTTGTAAAAGGAATCAGGAGTAGAACCATTCAAACCCCAGCGCTACTCGCCAAGCTGTGCAACTCCGACTCCAACATCAAGTCGTTATGGCACGCCAACTCTACAGTAGAGCCCTGATACTTGTAAAAAGCAAAAAAAAAAAAATCCCCAAAAAAAGCCACAAAAAACCTTTCTTCGTATCCTTATTATTATTACTTACATGTGGTACTTTTACCGTTCCTTGTTCTTAGACTTGTTTTCTCTCCTCTCGCTTAACCTTAAACTCGCTTGAATTCCCTCGGTCGCACTCTCCGTTCTTCTGTCACTCCGCCTCCCCGCCCCTTCGTCTGTCTCTCGATCTCTGTGTGTGTCTCTGCTCACTCGCAACTCTCGTCTCTGCTCACACACACATACACACACCTCTTTGAATGGACATACATCGGATGTACGTACGTCCGCAAACACACACACACACACACACACACACACACACACACACACACACACACACACACACACACACACACACACACACAATAAAAAAGGAGCACACCCAACTTGACCTAACGGATCACTGGACCACTCCTCCCTCCTCCTCCTCCTCCTCCTCCTGCTGCTGCTGCTGCTGCTGCTGCTCCTGCTGCTCCCCTCCTCCTGCTGCCTGTACCTGCCCCTTTACTGCCCCCTCTCTGCATTTTTTTTCTTCATCACCTCGAACCACACATACACACATACAGACATACAGACAGACACACACACGCTTATCTTCTCCTCTTTCTTCTCTGCCGCACGATCACTGGGACTGCTCTGCCCCTTCCCCCCTTCTGAGGGTTTTTATTTTTCTTCAAGCCAGCTTTGCCGGTTCTTGCTTGTTGCGCGGCGTGGTGTGGGTTGGCGTCTGCGCGTGGACGGACCAGGATGAGCGGGGAAAAGGAGTCGTCTGGGACGGTTCGACGAGTGCTGGGTGGGGCCTACATTCTCATTATTGTGTGCGGGATCTGGGCCGAAGGCGTGGTGCGGGGCAATTTGCTGGTCCCGGGGGAGGCAGCTGCCACAGCAGCGGCGGTGCGCGAGCATGAGGCGAGCTTTCGGGCCAGCCTGCTGGCCGATGCCATGATGGTCCTCTGCGACATTGTGGTTGGCGTCTTGTTTTACACCCTGCTGCGCTTGGCCCACCCAGTCTTGGCGCATTTGGCCCTGGTTCTGCGGTTGGTGCAGGCGGCTCTGATTGGCGCCAGCTTGGTCTTGCTCTCCGGCACGCCGCTGGCGGCCCAACGCGGGCAGGACGACCTGGCTCTCCTTCTGACCGAGCTCCATGCCACGGGCTACGACGTTGGTCTCATTCCCTTTGGCATCAATTGTCTGATCATGGGCCTCCTCCTGCACCCCAAGCAATCGGTGGCTGCCACCCCCTCGCTGCTGCGGGCCCCGCGTCCCATTGCCTGGGGCTTGGCGGCCTCGGGCCTCGTCTATCTTCTCGGCAGCATCTGTCGTCTCGTGGCCCCCGACGCCCGCGGCCTGGTGGAGCCATTCTACGCCATTCCCTTTTTCTCCGAAACCGCCCTGGCCCTCTGGTTATTCTTTGCCTCGACCTAAGCGGCAAGCGGCAATGACATGGCGCTGCGATCGTGTCGAGTCGGGGCGCGTTTTGGACCTGTGTTTTTTTTTTATGCCTGCCGCTTGCACCGCCAGAGGTGACTGACGTCTGTATTTGAATTGGCATGCGCGATTGATATTTTTTTTTTTTCTTTTCCTTTGGAGTGTGGCGTGGGACTCTTCTGGCGTGTGACAGAGTGTGCCATACGTCGGACGATCCTGGCACACACGTCCACGTCCACTGGTCTCAGCCACCACCGCTTGCATGATCGGGACACCAAAGTCCGCATGTCAAGCTCATACTTGCACCAAAACCTTGGCCGCACGCCCTCTGTCATGTCCCTCAACTGGCCAAACGGCCCGTGAGCGCCTCGACCGAATAGCTTTCAGAGGCCCTGCGTCCACAAGTCGCCAGGCGCCGTTGATCAGAGACGTTGATGCACTGCCACTGCGACGGACGGTTCAACGGGCAGAGAGAGAGGCGTCATTCCCAATGTGAAAATTCAGAGATGTTCAACCAAACCAGATTGGGTCTAAGCTAGAAAGCAAGGGGAATACAGAGAAGCGTCCCAACTTGTTTCATACTTTAGAGAAACAGGCTAGTCAAGACAAATCGCCGATTATTTGATCCAGCAAACACGCCCTAACAACGATCAGAAAAACACAGAAGAAGGGGAGAGGGAGCACGAAAGCGGGTGTGGCGAACAGGCGGAAAGGCGCAACGGCAGAAATGCAGAGATGCACAGATAGAGAGAGAGAAAGATTGACACAGGCCAAGGCAAGGGCGAGGTCTGCCAATTCACCTGAGCGGTCGATCGCCGCCAGAGACGAGAGAGAGAGAAAGAGAGAGAGGGTTTTTTAGAGACTTTTTAGAGAGAGAGAGAGAGATTAGAGAGACAGAGAGATTTTACGAGAGAGAGAGACGAAAAGAGAAATTTTGAGAGATTTTGAGAGACAGAGAGAGACTTTGAAGAGACAGAGACGGAGACAGAGACAGAGACAGAGAGACACACAAACACAGAGATTTCGAGAGAGAGAGTTCAGAGACAGACCCTCTCGTTGTTGTTCTCGTTGCGTCCAAACACACACACACACACACACACACACACACACACACACACACACACACACGCGCGCACGCAGAGAGGGACGCCGGGACCAGAGGGGCAGTAGTGCCGTGGCGCGGGTTTCCAGTGTAGCTTTAAGGTGTACGGACGTGCGTGGGGGGAGGCACGGTGGTGTGCATTCGCCTTGGAGCAGCACTTGACGTGTGTCTGCATTCGTTTGCCAGGCTGCCTGTTGTGGTTGGCAGGCATTGGACATTGGATGGAAAGGCTACGACCAATCAAAGTCCTAACTCGACCTGCTCGACCTGCTCGACCTGCTCGACCTGCTCGAGGGGGAGCTTTCCTGGGCTGCTTTGCGCTCGTTGCATCGCTCCCGTCTCGTCTCGTCTCGTCGCGTCTCGCTTGGGCCTTGGGCCGCGAGCGGGTGGCTCTGTCTTGAGATCGACGCGCCACCAGTGTCCTTTGATATATCCGACAAGGACGCGCCCTACCTCGCCACGACCAACAACACCACGTTCACCATGTTCAGCCGTGCGCCTCGGCGCTAATCTCCACTGCATCACCACATTCTCCCTTGAACGCCGCCTCTGGCCATTCCTCTCCTTCCTTCTCTTTCCCCTCGTCCTCCTTCTCCGTCTTCCGTCTTTGTGACCTTCTCTCATTGCTTCCCACCCGAGCAAACACGAGCACACACGCATTCAGATCCAATCGTCGCCATGGCCCAAGAGGAGCCACCTGCGGCTCCCGCAGCTGATGGCGTGGCCTCGGAACCCATAGGTCTGCCCCGCACCTCCGTCACCACCTTGAAATAACCCCCCCTCAGACTCTTCAAAGCGCCCCCAAGCAGCTCAACAAATGTGCCTGCCCTTGTTTCTGCTCTGCAGCTTTGAACAACTACGCCGAACCAGCACCCGAACCTGATACTCCGGGACCCCTCACCCCGACCGCCTTTGCTGCCCCACACCTTCAAAGTACGCCCAGGCCCAATCAACCCAGCGGCCCGCAACCCTCGCCCCCGTCTACCCGCTCACGTCTCTGCTCATCACATAGCCCGCGGCACCAACCTGGCCGAATCCCTCTTTGATGCCGTTGACAATGACGAGAGTAACAAGACGAAAAACTTCAAGGTCTCCTTTCTTCAATCCTCATCCCCCTTTATCGCAACTTCCATCCCCGTGGGCTCACGCTGGCTTCCATCAACCCCTCGTCCGTCCCTCTGATCCGCTTGCCAGGTTGTTGTTCGTGTCCGGCCCATGATCATGCGCGAACAGCTGCAAAAACCCTGTCTCAAAGTCCATGACCTTCAGGTCTGCATCTTCCCCACCCCTCCGCCCTGCCAAACACATTCTCCTTAAATTCGGCTTCTGACCGGCGGCTCCCTTTTCTCACGACACCAGATGTGCAAGATTGACCGACCCGCGGCCTTTGGGCGCGAAAAAGAGCACCAATTTGTCTTTGATCGCATCTACGAGCCCAATGCCAGCCAGTCGGATGTCTACGACTCGGCCGTGCGCCCCGTTGTCCTTTCCAGTCTTGAAGGTCGACCCCGCTTGCTCTTAACCGCCCAGCACCAGCGTGCTGCTCCTGCGCCCGCGCCCATTTCCCTTGCCAACGTCAATGCCCCACCCTCCCTTGTCTTGACGCACAACAACTCTTCACTTTTGGCAGGCTACAACGGCTCCATCATTGCCTACGGACAAACGGGCACCGGAAAAACCCACACCATTCAAGGCACCGAAGCAAGTTTTGCACCGTGCAGCCTATCTTTCGTCCCCGCCCCCCCCCCGACTGTTGCCCATTCTTCAGCTTTAACCCCACCCTTCAACCCCAACCCTAACCGCACGGCCAAATCCCGCCATCACAGGAGGCCGAGGACCGAGGCATCATCCCTCGCGCTGCCAGTGAGATTTTCCAGCATATTGAAGGCGACCAGACACCAAACGTGACCTACCTGGTCCGCGTCTCCTTCCTTCAGATTTACAACGAAAAAATTAGCGATCTTCTCAATCCCGACGCTTTACACAACACTGACGCCAAACAGTTGCGCATCCGCTCCGACCCCAACACCGACGTCTACGTCTCTGGCCTGTCTGAACACATTGTCAAGTCTCCGTCCGAAATTTGCGACCTTTTACAACTCGGCACCAAGATGCGGTCCACCAGTGCCACCCAAATGAACCAGCAGTCCAGCCGTTCCCATGCACTCTTCACCGTCATTGTCGAGAAATCACAGGCTGGTACTGAAGACGGTGAGTTTTTTTTTTTTTTTTTTTATCTCTCTCGCTCCGCTTGCCCACCTGCTGCCTGCCCGCCTGCTGCCTGCCCACCCACCGGCGCGATCATCATCAGGTGCGATGCCTCTCACATACATACGATGATGCATTCGTATGGGTCAAACACATTCTAGACGAGGGCAAGAGCGTCACCATCGGCAAATTGAACCTTGTTGACCTGGCTGGTTCAGAACGCATTTCTAAAACCGGCATCCAAGGCGGCAAGCAGCTTGATGAGATGAAAAACATCAACACCTCACTCACCGCCTTTGGCAAGGTCAGCTCAGCCCCTCAAGCACCCATCTACTCAGTTTCAAAATCGTTCACCTCATTGCCTCAGCCTCACGCGCACAACAACCACCCCCCCGCCCCCCCCCCCCCGCTTTTTTTTATTCTCTCCGTTGGTTTAGGTTATCTTGGCTCTGACTTCGCCAGGCAACCACCACATCCCCTACCGTGACTCCAAGCTCACGCGCCTTCTGCAGGGGAGCCTGGGCGGCAACTGCAAAACAACCCTGATCACCGCCGTCACCGCCGTGGCCAACAGCTACCCGGAAACCCTCAACAGGTACGGTCCCGAGGACACACCTGTGCGTTCCTTGCAACAGTGCCCTCACCGTTTCATGTCCCGCCCGCGCCTACAGTCTCAAGTTTGCCAAGCGCGCCAAGCAGGTCAAGAACTATGCATATGTGAATCAAGACCTCAACAACAGCGCCCTCCTTTCGGCTTACGAAAGTGAAATTAAGCGGCTTCGCAAAGCCCTGGCCGATTCCTCTCGTACGCCGCACACCCTCTGCCCTTTGCCCTCCAGGTTCTACGGAAGAATATGATTATCACTCACTCATCGGTCCTTCCCCATGCCTAGGCGGTGTGGCCGTGACCCAGCTTAAGGAACAAAAGCTACGCCTCACCACCGAGAAAGAAGCCATGGCCAACGAGCTTGAAGCCCGCACCGCAGCAGTTGCCACAGCCCAAGAGGAATCCAAGCGCCTTCGGGCCAAGATACACTCCATGGAACGCCAGCTCCTCACTGGTTTGTCCTTGTGCTTCCTTCTCGATTTGGTTCTCAACAGCCTTGTGGGAACAAGTCTGCAACATGCACTTTGTCCTGCTGATCGCGTACCCATTTCAACGCCCTCGTTTGATTCTAGGTGGTGCTGAGATTGAAGAGTCCCCCGAGTTTCATGCTGCCGTCAAGGCCATGGAGGCCAAGTTGGCCAACGAGTACGACGCCAAACTGGCCCTGCTCGAAGCGGAGCGTGAGCAACTCCGAATGGAGCGGCTTGAATTCCAACGCCAACGCGCTGACTTTGTGCGCCAAGCCACAGAACTATCACTTACCAACCCAGAGCTGGCCGCGGCTCCTTTGCTGTCGTCCGAACCCACCGCCTCCAGTATGGATGAGGACATGCGCCACATGACTCTCAGCACGGGTGTGTTACAGAACTATTCAACGCAACCACCCCCCCCGCCTTGGTGGCCTCTTCTCATTTCTTTGTTTACTTTTGTTTAGACTCAACGCACTCTTCCATGGCCTCGGATGCCACCTCTCGCGGCAGCAGTGCCAGCAGCGGTCCTAAACGTACGCCGCATTGCCCTTTACCTTCGGTTGCCTTTTCCTTCTCGCCTCTCTGAATGCCTGGACCCATGTCATCTTTTGCCCGCCTGTGTCTGCCCATGGCTCATCAACGTTGCTACTCTGTTCATCCAGGGGCAGGCCCACCACGGTTCTTGCCTCCACCCCAATCTCCTTTGCGCTCAACACTTCCTCCGACAGCTGAGGTGACTGATGTCGACGCTGATGACCGGGCCACACCCACTCGCGAAGCCGCTGGATCGCGAGCGAGCTATCTCCTTCCCCAGCAGTCTGGCCGTGGCTTTGTACGTACTCATTCCGGCCGGCCCCTCAAGACAACGGGCCGCGCTTCCGCTGAGCTCTCTTCGTCCGAGTCGGAATCAGAACGCGCTGAGCTCAGCCCCATGGACACTCTTCAAACGCCCACCCCTTCGCCGGGTCGGACCAAGGTCACCGTCCAAGACGTTGATTCCAAAACACGTTCAAAAGTTTGCAAGAATCGCCATGATAACAATGAAAGTGACGGAGCCCAGGATCAGGAGGAAACCGAGACAGAAACCTCAGAGGTTGGTAGCATGGTAGTGGCATTCTGACTGTGACCTTGTGTGACAGAAAAAAATTGTTCCTAGTTTTGATGATCGCGTGCTTCCTTCGCACCTTTGGCGCTGCGCCCCGAACTTAGGTGGAGGAGACGCAGCAGCAGCGACAGGAGCAGCAACGTCAACAGCAGCTGCTCAACATGTACATTCGTGCTCTGCGCCACCCCACAACTGGCGTGCCAACGCAGGATTGCCAGTTTCAACTCAAGCTGCACCGCAACGTCTTTCCTGGCCAAGCCATCACCCAGTGGGTCATGCAAAACATGGAAGGGGTGAACGACGTGACGGCCGCCCAACAGACGGGCCAGCAACTACTCGACCTTGGGTTATTTGAGCCGCTGGACCCACAAAAGAGTGACGAGCCTTTTGTTTCCTCGCCACATGTGTTTTACCGCTTCACGCAGTATAGCACCCAGCGCCGCGTGCGTCATGCCGTCTCAGCCTCGCAGGTTGCCGGCACAGCTAGCCCCGCTCCCCGCAGCAGCTCTACCCTCTCCGAGTCAGACTCGGCCGTGCCACACCGCACTCAGGATACCAATGGTCATGATGAGAGCGATACGGGCAGTGGTTTGGAGAGTGCCGGTAGTAACCTTGGCGTCAGCCAGGGCACGGGGCTTCGAGCACGCCTGGCCCGTCTTGGGTCTACACTGCGGGCCGCGACTCACATCCGTGGAGCCGGGCGTCCGAGTCAAACTGAGGCCCGCGCTTCAGGCACGGGTCAGAATTCAGGTGGCGACTTGCTTTCGCCCGGCACAGGCGCCAGTCGCGTGTCGCGGCGTGCGCGATCTGCTTCCACCGGGGCCAGTGGTGCACGACGGGAACTGCTCGGTGGCCGTCTTGGTGAAGCACGCAGCAGCGATGCGCTGGATCGCTCCTTCACCATGAATGGTACCACGGCCGAAGAAGAACCCGCTTCGGCAGACGCTCAGCAGCAGTACGAGGAATGGCAGCAGCACGGTGCCACAATGCTGCACTCGGCGGCCGGCCAGGGAGACCGTGTGGCTATCAAGGCCTTGCTGCAAACACTCGACGTCAACAGCTGTGATGCGCTTGGACGCACGCCGCTCATGTATGCCGCCATTGCCAACCGCGTGCGCTCCGTCGAACTGCTCTTAAAGAGCAATGCAGATGCATCGGCGCGCGACAACAACGGGCGCACAGCGCTTCTCTGGGCGGCCTACTATGGCCATGCCGAAGTGATCCGAGCATTATTGCGCGCCAACCGGGAATTGCTCGGCTTTATGGACCCTGAAGGTCGTTCGGCCATTCACTGGGCCTGCAAGCATCCCTCTACGCGCAGCCTCGATATTCTACTGCGTGTGCGTCAAACTTTCCGGCTTTCTGACCTGGTTTTGTGACTTTTTGTTTTCAATCCCCCCCCCCTTTTTTTTTGTTGTTCTCGTTTTGTTTCTATGCATCTTTTCACGTGTGGTGCTTGGGTCCTGCTTGCTCTTGTTCACGCTCGCGACCCACTCCCTCTTGAACAGGTGGCGCCGCTGGAGCTAATCAACCACCGCGATACGGAACTGGTGACGCCTCTGCACTGGAGCATTATGTGCCGTCATGTTGAGCACCTGGCACGATTGCTGCGTGCTGGAGCTGACTCGACGGTTGCCGATGCCGAGGGGCGCACGGCGTTTCACTATGCCGTATCCAGCGACACTCCGCGATGTCTTCGGGTATGTCCAACCTAGCACGTAGCCATCCATAAACTCGCATTATTGTGTTGTGATAGAAGAGTTTCGGTTCGGCTTGCCTCATGCTCAGCCGTGGCTGGCGCAGATGTTGTTGGAGAATGACGATAGCCATGTCAATGCGCGCGACGACCGTGGGCGAGCGCCTCTGCACCTGGCCATCTCCGCAACCAGCCCGCTTGACATTGTTGTGACGTTGTTGAGCCGACCGCAACTCGACGTCAACTGCACTGATTCACGCATGACCACTCCGCTTCACTGGTCAGTCCCCTTGTTCTCAACCCCGCGATCTGTAGGCACTCGCCGCGTGTCTCATCCGATGCTCTTTGGATAGGGCTGCCGTGTGCAATCGTCCGGACATTTGCAAAGCCCTTGCGCAACGTGGCGCCAAGCCCTCGTTTCGTGACTCCAATGGCATGACGCCGCTACATTACGCCACTGCGCGAGGTAGGCAGGCCTTGATGTCTGAATATCCATTTTCCTGCGAGCAAGTTCCTTCTCTTGACCATGCATCTCATGACCAATCATTTGCTTGTTTGCTTGGGGTCGCGCTTGGGACAGGCTATAGCCAATGCGTGCAGGTGCTGCAGCGCATGTCCCTTGAAGCCACTGGAGCCGTAGGAGGCAATCGTGCTGGCGCCACCGTCAACACACGATCAGCCCCCAACGCCGCGGGTGTTGTCCTCAATCAAACCATTCGTGCAAGCCCCGCCCCACTGACCAATGGTGCGTCATCTCTCAGCACGGCCATTGTATCTCGTTTGCTCTGGCCGTAGCCTGTGCGCTATCCCATCTCACAGCCATATTCCAATTGCACCGCGTGACCAGGGCGACGACGGGACTCAACAATCCATGCCTGGTAGTGACCTGGCCTGGCTTCATCGTCTGTCCCTTGGCTGCCGAGCAGCTTGTTTCGCCGCACCCGATAGTTTGGTTGCGTTTGACCGCAACAATGTATTAGGGCCAGCTTTGCCCGTTCTCTTATCTGAATTTGTTATTTTGAACGTTTCTTGTGGCCGACTTTTTGAGTTTTTTTTTTTTTTCCTTTCCAATTTTTTCCTTGGCCGACGATGTTTGCCTGGTGGAACCCATTTATTATGACCTGACCTGGCTTTTGACTTCTGCGCCTTGGCTGCCAGCCAGCCTGCTGCTACTTGACTGTGTTACAATTGCAAAGACGAGAAAACAGTGTGTCAATATGAGAGCACCCCACCAACCTGGTCAACAATGTTTTGTTCTGTGACCTGTTTTGAAAAAAAAAAAAAAAAACCAATGACGAATGAATTTGGAGACAAGAGTGGCGGCGCTGCACCACTTGATAGCATAAAGACATTGATAAAGCACTTGGCACTGATTGCATACGGGCCGTGTTAAACACGCGGCAATCTGAAGTGCGACCAAAACGCCACACTCGCCACTACAAGGGCCGGCAGACACAAAGACTCGAGTCCAGTGCCTTCGGCCCAAGGCCTCTGATCGAAATCACCAACACAAACCAGGGAACAACAGGGGGATGCACACGGGCAGCATTGGATCCACGCAAGGCGACAAGGGGCTGTGGGCTGGCCTAACCGTTCAGAACAGAGGCGAGGGTAAAAAAGCCAGGCGGATTAAGGATTCACACAAGACCAACGACAACACATAAACAGAAAAAAAAAAGTAAAGAGAAAAACAGAAACCACGAAACAAGTCAATAGGACTGCAGTCTATAAAATCGGAATGTGGTAAAGTAGGGTGGGGGGCGTGAGGGACAGGAGAGGGTTAGGACATGGTAGCTATACATCGCTGATGGGAAGGCCCTCCCATTCATCGTCATCCTCGTCGGTGGTTGTGAGGTCCGAATCGGAAAATTCGGGAGCCTGGGAGACGTTGGAGTCGCGGTGGGTGAGTTTTCCGGGAATGGCACTCAGGGGTTCTCCAGAAGCATCGGGCCCGCGAGAGGGGAGCATGGGCTGGCCACCACGGGAAGTGGCAGGTATGGCGGGATCTGAGCCGTCTGATGCCGTGGGAACCATGCCTTGGGCGGACGCGGTTGATGCAGAGAGGCTGTTGGCAGCGAGCGGGGAGGAGGTTTTGGCGTTGCCTTCGGGATTGTCAAAGAGGATCTCAATGGCAAAGCCTTCGGGGTAAATTTTGTTTTTCTTGTCCTTGTTGGCCTTGTCGACCTCGGACTGGGCCGCATAAAAGCGGTTGTTGACGATAAAAAAGGTGTTAAACCAGAGGTGAAACATTTTTTCCTTGCCAGAGCTGCCCTTGCGGTGGATAAACTCGAGTTTGACGTCGCCGCAGACCGGGGTGTGGGGCTTCAGCTCCAGCGTGGCGGTGCCTTGCTCGCGAGAGATGCCCTCGTACCAGCCGCTCTTGAAGGTGAGGACGTGTTGCGGCCCATGACGAAGAGTGAATTGGGGCACGCAAGTGCCGTCCTTAAAGTCGGGGATGCCGTGGAGGATGATGCGCTTCATGATGAGTGGGATGGGTTCAAACTCGCGCTGTTCACGAACGTAGCGGCCGTAGTAGTGAACGTAGCGCACTTGGCTGGGAATGGTGACGCCCTTGCCGTTCATGGTGCGGGCATGGCCGTAAAACTCGAGGGCTTCCTCGGTTTTCTCAAACAGGCCGCAGTGCATCAGGTAGGCGGAGATCATGACGCCGGTTCGGCCCTTGCCAGCCTGCGTGTGGGTGGGGAGGGGAGAGGGGTTCACGGACGCGAAATAGAAAACGCAAGATGGGGGGGGTGAGACCGAGGGAGTGCGCGGGGGCTGCTGACAGGGGTTGAGTGGGACGAAAGCGGCAACAGGTGACGGAGCTGACTTTGCAGTGAATGACGGCGACGTTGCGAGAATCTTCGCTGAGGTACTGGTGTACGTCTTCACAAAAGGGCTGCATCAGAAGGAAGGGGGGTGCGTTGTGGTCATCGAAAGGATACTTTGCAACGCGGCCGTAAAACTTTTGCGGGTCATAATCGCGCTCGGAACACCTGTCAAATGGCGACGGAGAGTCGTACATGGCACAGAAAAAAAAAAAAAACAAAAAAAAAAAAAAAAAAAAAAAGTGAAGAAGGGGAAAACAAATTCGATCCCTGGCAAGCTCCCTCTGTGAAACCCTCGCCCCTTCTCATGGTCGAGTCAAGGATCACGAGGGCCGTACAGGTTGTAAACGCGGTAGTGATCCTTGCAGCGATAGTCGAAGAAGCGCTTGACGTCGCGCATGTGGTTGCGGTAAATGCCTTCCCGGCCCTCGGCAGGAAAGCCCATGGCGACAATGTTGCGGGTGATGACTGCAGTGCGAGGGTTGAAGGCAGAGGTGAAGGGCGATGAATGACAAGAAGGGGGGCAGGGCCTGGCGCGGGGCTGGGCAAAGAGAACGAACAGGTGAGGTCGAGGTCAAAGCCCTCATCCATGAAGCGGCGCTTCTTTTTGGAGACCAAATGCTTGGCAATGGTCGCCATCGTGCCGTTCAGAGAGGATCAAGGCGCAAAGGGGGGAGCCCCAGGTGGAGCGGGATGTGAGCGCGGGAAAGGACGTCCGCAGGACCGTCAAGGCCGGACAATGATGGAAACCGGAGGCCGCCGTGTGATTTGTGTCGTGGGCTAGTCCAAGGGATCAAGGCGGACACCGGCGATCAGCCCGATGCCAAAGGGTTCGCGTTCTCGGGGTTGGAAAGAGTCCAACGTGCCTAGAGCTGAACAGAAGAAGGGAATGAAAGGGGAGCATGTTCAACAACCGAGGCAGGACAACACCACCGCCACCATGCCGAATCAGACATTGACGGGCAGGCAAGGGGAGGTCTTACCTGTCGGACACGGTTCAGCTCGGACTGCCGACAGGTGCACCACCGCCAAGATGACAAAGCGCAGGCAAAACCACACCTCAAGTCCCCTACCGAGCAACCGAATCAAGCAAGACGTGAGCACGACACATGATCTGCATGAGAGAGAGAGAGGGAGAGAGAGAGAGACAGAGAGACAGAGACAGAGAGAGAGAGAGACAGAGAGAGAGAGAACGGATAGCATTCGCGACACAGATCTACTCCAACCCCTTCCGCCTGGAAGGCTCTCCGCCATTTACTGCCGCCATTTGCCGCTGCCATTTGCCGCTGCCATTGTCGGCATCATGTTCTTGCCGCTGATGCACGAGCGGTTTCCAAAAAATTCGTCTGTCTCGCGGCAAGACCACGGCTCAGAACGCACCAAGATGCCCCCTCACCGATGCAATACCCATGTGCGGAAGAGGCATTGGCAGCAGCGGCAGCGGCGGCGGCAGAGGCAGAGGCAGAGAGGGAGAGAGGTCGCGCTGCCGTTTTTGATTTTTTTCTTCTTTTTAATGAGTGCGTGAGCGGGCGAGTTGATACCTCTCTAAAATACAGTTTTAATCCTCTAATATCAACATATACAACCTGTTGGACCGTGAATGATCAACTTATTGCAGAAGAAAGTGGAGTTTATGCAGAAATATTTATTTTATCTGGTAATACATTATTCTGTATTATTCTACGTATCGTAGAAAGCCTTCAGGTTGTAGTTGTGCCTTGGGTAGTTTTGGAAGTTTTCGTTTGAAGCTGGCTGTAAGGCTGGTGTGCAGCGGCTCAGGGCATCGACTTGGACTCGATCGCGATCCCGTAGATACGCAGCAGCTTGCATGCTCACACAGCTTTGGCAGCGCATCGAGAACAAATCACACCGACTCGCGATGCCATTGCTGTCTCCGACTCTGGTCACCTTTGTCTCTCTCGCGCTTCGCATCTCTGACTTCAGAGTCTTAATCAAAACATTCTCTGATTTTTCTACACTTTTCCCATACAAACACTCTGACTCTGTCCGTCACTCTCTGGCTTTCTTTCCCCGTCTCTCTCGCTCTCTGCTCTCTCTCGAAAGCTCGAGCGGAAAGGGGTGTAACATTAACATCATCGCTCGGTGGAGATAATGCAGCATTTCAAATCATAAACGCTAAAACATTACTGTTGTATTGAATGCTTATTGTAGCACATCGTCGGGCTATTGTACATCTCCTTGCTTACGAGGGCGGGCACATCCGTGTATCACTGTACACCAACTTTTCCCCCACAAATCAATACAAAAGGCAAAGCCACAACACACACACACTCACACACACACACACAGAACACACAGCTGGAATGTCAGACGTTTCCTGAGGTAGCGTTCAATCTCACATCTCACTGCATTCGCCGACTAGTAAAATGCGTGCCTGCAAGCACCAACCGGCGCCTGACACACACACACACACACACACACACACACACACACACACACACACACACACACACACACACACGCGATGCTTCTTCGTCAGGATGATCGATGCTGCCACAAGGAAAATGGCTCGGCGTAACCGTCTCGTCTACTATCGCGCCCAACTCAACTCGTCGGCGCTTACACCCTGCTTGACCCAGTGCTGGACCTGACTGATGTGGCACAGAGCGGACGAAACAGATCCCCTAACGTCTGTTTCCGTCGGATCTCCCCCTTCCTACTTAGCCACCCTCCTGCCCCACCCTGACCCACCCCTGACCACCACATCAAGTGCGCATCACAAAAGAAGCTTTCTTCACCCTCCTTGGGAAGAAAATACAAGCAAGAAACTTGGCACTCCACAGGCCATTCTGCTGCATGCGTTCCAAGTGCGAGCCCAGGATCGTTCCCCGAGCGAGATCTGCGGGCCCCATTGGCACAGCTTCTCAAGCATTCACCCCAAAGGAGCTCTTTTGCTGCTGCCCCGCTACCCGTCGTTTTCCTTCTTGACCAAACCAAGCAAACTTTGCAACCCGTCAGGGCAACACCACCCTTTGCCCGGCAACACAAAGGTCACCCCGCCCCAGCCTGTGCCTCCACCGTCTCGAATCCGCTGTTTCTCTCTTCGTGCTCTCTTTTCTTGCTCGGCCGTGACATCATTCTGGCTATCAAGTG